TCTGCTTGTGTATCGTTACCTTGGTTTAAGTTTAGGTATTTCATTTCTCGTTATGAGGTCTAAATAGCTTAATCGGATGGCTGTTAGCTAAGGGTAAACAAAGTAGAAAGATTTAAAAGTGGATTTAAAGCTAAATAAAGTAGTAGAAATAAAATCGACGAAAAATGCACTTTTACCCGGACATTTCCCCCTCTGTCTCTGGCTGGGATTAAGAAAAGGGAAAACGGTTCATACCTGGAGGTAGCTAATTGCTATGGGATTGTACATGCACGGAACTATGTGCCTAGGGTAAATTGGGTCATAGGGGTACTACCGAGTATAAAACCAAAACTTATCCCCGACCGTGTACTTTATCCTAACATGATAGGGAAAATATTAGTAAATTTGGTTCAAAATCGGGTTATGATTAGTTTATTGGGATCGTACGACTTTGTTGCTTGGGTCAAGATTTGACACCAAAGTCAGTTGGTATTTAAGTAAGTAACGTAGGGGCGGATTTAACTGATAAGAATCATACGACTTCGGTTACTTACCCGATGTACGATACCAACCGCAGGGGGATGTATTTACGAAACGTGAACAAGTCGATAAAAACCCCGGACTTGGAACCCGTCAGCTTTGACAGAGGGAGTAGGTAAAAGGGAAACCCATAGGGGGCGGTTGTGCTTAAGGGGATGAAAACACCGATATGAAGTGGCGTGACTTAAACAAAAACGGAGCGCAACTAGAGATAAGAAGTGGAGGTTCGAGAGCGGACTTTGAAGGGAGAACGAGTTAACGAACGTAAGATTCAGTAGGTCCCAGTTGTGGTCGCTATCTGAACTCATCAGTTAATTGTTTCACAGCGATTTTGTATATTAATAAATTATACTCTGGCCGAACTAGTAGGCCCTTTGTATTCGGACTTATATATATTGAATTCATTTGCAAAAAAGGAATTCGTTGTACGCGACTTCAAGCGAGATATAGCGAGCAAGAGCATCACTGACCAAGGGGGAGCAATAGAATACAGTAGAGGACAACTCACCACTAACATAACCCTTTCGGGATTTTCGTTAATACCGAGCCTTAGTGCCCCCCTGCTTTAGCACGGTAAAAGGGATAGCTTCGCAAGACCGTGTGTGGAAATCCTTAAGACGACACCCACAAAGCAGTAAGATTCAATATTTAAGAAGTAAATTTATACAAGAAGAGAGTAGTACTAACCTTTTCAATCGCTACTTTCTATTCACTCGCACAAGAATTCTATCTAAACTCCCACAGCTCCCCACGACGAATTGTTCAAAAATAATGAGTTCAAATTTTAACTTTCACTAACAACAATTCAAACAAGCGATAACATGTTTCCAATTTTCTCTTAACCCGGTTGGAAAGGAATTATATAGTAACCTAAACTGACCAACGCAGCTTACTAAACACCATAAACCACAAACTAACAAGCACGACTAAGAAAAGAAAACCAACGGTACCCAAACCGGATTAAACCAGCTTAAGAACTGGATAATTTATTCTTTTGAAGAGTATTGACAAGTCTAAAAAATAATAATAAAACACCAAAAATTCGCAAGACAAACCCAAACCAAACAATTTGATTTTTAAGAAAAGGACACAAGCAAAACAACAAAAGGAAAAAAACAGTAACATTATAACATAAAATGTTAACACAAAACAGGACCCCACAAAAAACCAGCATGCAATCATATCCTCACTCCTGGCCTAACCCACCAGAAGAGGACGTCCTGACGTTGCTCTATGGCCGGCCTAACCCACCGTGCTACATCCACGCTTTGTGACTACTCCATATTTTTGACTGACTAGAGGTACTCAAGGGTGAGTAACTTTCAAAAACAACAAAACTAAAATTAAAACGCTTTTGCGATAATAACTAATAGAAATCATAACTAAAAACTAAATCAACAAAAATTTTATAAAATGTAAATTATATAATGCAGTATATAGATCATACACGACCACAAGGACGAGCATCAAGAAACTAGACGACCCCCTCACACTCAATCTACAGAATGGCTAAACACAACCGCCATGCCGCTCACAATCACAACTCAAAAGGATTTGAAGTACGAATTGGTTTCGCAGAAAAGGACTTCATTGAATCAGACCAATGACCACCTCGATGTTCAAGTATACGTACAGATCCGAGTTTCAAGGCACTCTCTCCAAATTCAATTTTTCCCAGACAAGAACGGAACACAGTCAGTTCTCCGTCGAAGGAGAACGAACAATCATAACAAACCATCTTGAAATCAGATTGATTTTTTTGGCGGTCACAGTCATTGTCGAGCAACAACTAACAACTTCATATCGACAATTCCAGCTTCGTGGCGCTTTTTTCTCTAAGAACAGAACAAAAAATGATGCTCGCCAAATACCAACGATCATCATCCATCCTTCATTACAGATAGAACATAAAAGAGTCAAAAACTCTGTAAGACCCGGATGGATGGAACCAGAACTAAACTATATTTTTTTATTGGTTATTTTATCACTAGAAAATATTTAATACTAACCAATCCTGATCCATCTAACTAACAACCGACTTATATTGGATAATTTACCATTGTAAAATATTTAATATTAACCAATCATAATCCATCTAACTTACAACCCACTTATTTGTAAGTGCTGAAATTACTTGTAATTTCAGCACCAGAGAGATTTGAACTTAACTTAAAACATAGTTGCCTCTCCAAGAGACCTACACGCAATAAATCAGTATGCTCTAGATCTATTGAGACTAATTGAGACTAGCAGATATAAGAGTAAGATTAAGATCGGTATTAGACTAAGAAGTTGCACGAATCTATCCGGACGAAAACAAGGTAGCGTGACGAGCAGACGGTGTACCCTATCTGAAATTACTCTATGATTTAAACCTAGAATATAACTCACAAGGTAGTAAACATCATCAAAATCTGATTTAACGTAACTAATCTTTTTGTTATTAAACGTCATCAAAAACCGATTTGACCTAACTAATCTTTTTGTTTCGAAGCTTGAGCAAGTTTGTATACTCAAAAAAGTCTCCTCCATCAGAAATACAGAGAGCAAAAGTACACAAGGAGAGTTTTACTGCAAACTATTGCGTTTCAAGGACTTCCTCTAAAATTGTTCAAAACTAAGGTTCGCCGCAGTAATGAGAAGTATTACTATGCAAAGTTTTGTCATATGTGTTTTCATTATCAGCGTTCTAGGCTTAGCTTTGATAAATAAATAACATATTCATTAAAAAAAATTAGAAAAAATCTTTTTTAATGCTGAAAACTTTAGATAAAATTTATTCTCACATTTGTTTTCAGGCAAACATGAAAAACGAAAAGTCAATTAAAAAGCGTTTATTACAATTTTATTTTCTTTTTTTCTCTATTGTTTGATAGCCTAGAAAAACTGAATATAATCTGTATATAATCTGTTCAAAACGAGAATACACAAAATCCGTTAAAATTCTACTTAAATTAATTTGAATAGATTTTATTGTTAAAAAAATCCGTAGAAAAATGAAATCAAAATTTTGACAAAAGCCAAAATAAGTCGACTTTAGAATGGACTGAAACTGTTTTTCTTAGCTACATTTTTTTTCAAACTGAATAGATTTTTTTAGGTCTTTACTAAATTATTTGTACAAAATTGATTGCAAACCGTTTCTTGTCAGTACGGGTTGTTTTGAAAGTTAAGCGAAATTGCACCGTATCCACCTCAGTCGCGAGGAATAAAATATTAGTCGCGCCGTCTCCACCTCGGTCTGGAAAGTTGCGCCGTCTCCGTATTGGTCTGGAAAATTGAGCCGTCTCCACCTCGGTCTGGAAAGTCGCGCCGTATCTACCTCAGTCGCGAGGAATACAATCTTGGTCGCGCCGTCTCCACCTCGGTCTGGAAAGTCGCGCTGTATCCACCTCATTCGCGAGGAATATAATCTTGGTCGCGCCGTCTCCACCTCAGTCTGGAAAGTCGCACTGTATCCACCTCAGTCGCGAGGAGCTTAATTCTGGTCGCGCCATCTCCACTTCGGTCTGGAAAGTAGCGCCATCTCCACCTCGGTCGCGAAATCCCTGAAAAATCTGAGGGCGCACCGTTTCCTGAGTCGCGCCGTATCCACCATGGTCGAGAAATCCCTGAAAAACTTTTTTTAAGTTGCGCCGTCTCCATGTTGCTCTGAAAAGTCGCGCCGTCTTCATCTGGTTCTGGAAAGTCTGGAAATAGCTAGGTTTGGTTGCGCCGGTCACGCCATTTCCTGACTCGCAGGGTCGCGCCATATCCGCCTAGGTCGCGAAAGTCGCGCCTTAGTTTTTCGGAAAGTCTGGAAATGGCAACTCTTGGTCGCGAGAGTCTGGACATACCAAATATGAGTCGCGATGTTTTGGTCGCGCCACCTCTGCTTCGGCGCGATAGTCGCAACGGATCATCATGGTCGCAAAAGTCTGGAAATGCCATGTTTTGGTCGCCAAAGCCTGGACATGCCTAATTTTGGTCTGGAAAGTCTGGAAATGCCAAAATTTTGTCGCGAAAGTATGGACATGAGTTTGGGACCTCGACCCTGAAAGACCGCTCAAAAACCGCTCAAAAACCGCTCAAATCTTGCTTGAAAAACCGTTCAAAAATCACCGCAAGAAATGAGCGGTTTTTGAGCGGTTTTTTAAGCAAGATTTGAGCGGTTTGAGCGGTTTTTCCAAAAAAACCGCCCAAACCGCTCAAACCGCTCAAACCGCTCAAATCTTGCTGGAAAACCGCTCAAACCGCTCAAATCTTGAGCGGTTTTTGAGCGGGATCTCGACCCGGGATGAAACTCTCAGCTGACAATCGTGCAAGAAAACATTGATACTGATACGAATAGACTGATCTATGAATCTAGTCTAGGAGCATTTTAGAACGCGACGAGAAGATTTATCTTCATTTGAGAGCAGTAACCATGATATTAGCTTGCTCAAACTAAATATATAAACTTTAAATTCTTCATTAAACAAAACTTTTAATTTTGAGCTTGAAACAAAAAATTATTTAATCAAAATATTGATGTTACTCATGCTAAATAGATCATCTTTTTCCAAAAGAGCAGCTTGGGTTCAAAATTGTATATTGTATCATAATCAGTTTAATGATAATATAATCACAAGTAATAGTCAAATTGACTAAACTGTGAGGTAGGTGCTTTTGAAGTAGCGATTGTACACGAAGTAGACGACTGAAGAGACGACTACAAGTGCCAATATCAGCCCCAGCACTATGGCTGCATTTCGTCCACTGTTATTCACCTGCAATCATAACTCAAGGTCGAAAAGTTAATAACTAAAGATAATACCGGATTAACGTCCATACAAGAAAAATACCTGTCATACAATTTCATATAAGGAGTCTATGGAAAAATTGCTTTTTGGTTCACCTGAAGTCATAAGACAAGGTCGCAAAGTTAATAACTAAAGTTAATTAATATTTAAAATAGGAGTAGGTAGCTCATGAGTTTCCAACGTGGGTTCGGTTCGATTCGGTTATAATTAAGTCTGTTCGCATTTATTCGGCTTGACCCACAGAGCCAGCTATCCCTAGACTCCAAACAGAAAAGACTTTATAATTACAAGATGGGCAGCGTTTTTGAAATGGCTTAAGCATCACCTCAATTAGAAATTGGAAGTTTGAGGCGCATTGCCAATCCATCAATCTTGCTCAATGCTTAAGCGCACGCTCCCTTCAAGATCTTTAACCCTCCAACGCGTTCCTATTCGGTATGTTTTACGATACTAATTTTTTGCAGAGCAGCCCTAGAATTTCTATGAGACGCCTTTGGCGACACTATACCAATTTTAGGAGGAAGCGCGGTTGAAAAACTGCAATTTTCATGTTAAAAATTTCCATAAATTTTCAAAAACTGCAATTGGTCGCGGTGCATAGAAATTAGAAACTGACACGATAAAATTTTATTGGAAAATTGGAATAAGCCCCCCGTAAAATAAGTTTCGTAGAAAAGAAACTATGGTAGAAAACTTCCATGAATTCCGCGCAAAATACAGGGAACGTGAAAGTTAACGTCACATTAGTGACCATTAGTGTCCGTGGATTCCAGAACGAGCAAAGATGGCTACTTGTTCCGGATTCCGCAAATGTAAGCAGATTCCACAAAATGAAATTGGATATCGCAAATGTGGGTGCATTCCGCAAAGTTAAGCGAAGTACGTAGTTTTTGTGTATTATATTGAACTAAAACAGTTATCGCATGACCAATTAAGAACTGAAGGTAGAATTTGTATCTATCAAATGCGGAACTTAAAAGCAAGTATTTAACTATTGTCTCTCGCTTAAAGATGTGGATCCCGCTTAAAATTGATTAAATGTGGCATTAATTTGAAAGCAGTCGATTGAAGGCTAAAATGAAATGAAAACTAATTATAGTGAGCTTTATAATCAGGAGTTCGCCAATTTCAACAGTGTAATTTCCTTGCTAACGTTTTTGAGAAAGGTTCATCAATTTTTGATTTCTTTTTTCAGTAATTGAGATTTGGCTTGTGACTTCCAGCTGTTTCGCAGAAGTTGAGATTGAACTGTTGTCAGTAAATAAAGTTGAAGTGTTTACAAAAATAGAGATTAAACTGTTGGCAGTGTTTAAAAGTCAATTGTTGGAAAATTTTGCTGATGACCAACAAAAAATTCATTTAAAACGTAATTTCAAAACCTATCTATTAGAATATGTTAATAGAAAGCGCAAACAAAACAAGGATTCCGCCTAATTGTAATTTAACTGTACACATAAAATAATATTTGTTTGTGGATTCCATACGACCCAAATTTTTTTGTTCGTGAAATCGAAAACAGCAAGGAAGATCAAAGAAAAAAATGTGGATTCCGCGACAAATCTGTTTCCGACATCTCGCAGAAACGCTTAAAACTTCCAAAATACATAGTCTCGTATTTAGCCTTGTAATGAACTTCTTTGGAAATATCCCAAATAAAAATTTACCCTGTTTTTTGATTTTTTTAAAAATTTTCTTGCATGTTTTCAATTATAGAATCTTATTTGAAAATTTTCCGACGTCATGTGGATTATGAAAATATTTCAAGTTCTTATGGTGTTGTATGAAACTGGTGTTGTATGATGATTTTTTTTGCTACTCATTTTGAAATTTAAAATTACTGTGCACATTGGTTCACTGAATTCAGCAATTTCAAAGAGAACTTAACTTTACTAGTTCAGAAACAAAAAATTGAGAAACTTAACTTAATCAATTCTTGGATCCTAAATTTGGAATACCAAGCGAGAAAAAAAGTGATGTCATCATAAAAAAGCATGCCAAAAACATAAGAAATAGGCATGCACCAAAACTCGCAAAAATCTTTTTATAAAATTGTAACTTTAAAATTAAAATAAAAGTTCAAAAAACTGCTCAATTAGCCAATATAAACTAAGTGTTTGAAAAAGCGCGCGCCAAAAACAAAATTGTGCGGCCAAATATTTCAAAAATGATTTAAAAAATGATCTTTTTAAATTTGAGTCGCAATGCTCTTTGCAGGAAGGCCATCATGAAAATCCGCCCTCTCGATGTAATTCGAGATCCACCCCTCCACCCCAGACAGACTATTCTTAGGAATTATCGCATTCATTTGTTTTCGACAACTTCTATCTAAACATGATTTTACATAAACGGATTGCTATACCATGTTTAATTTAATCTGTCTTTTTTAAAAAGAAAATCAAGCCGGCTTAAGGTATGATTAGTGGCTCACACTTCTTTTAATTTAATTAGGTTGTAACGCCACCCAATAACTAAATGATTAAGCTGCAGAAATGGATTGACATCTAATCGCTGTGTGGGGGCGGGGCAGATTAGACACTAAGCATAATGTTAAGGCGTTCTATTCGAGAGCTTCAGATCGTGTATCCGATCCCATGCCCTAGCAATGATATTCAGTGACGTCGAGCTCTCACTTGACTTCTGGTTTCAGGTCTATAAATACTTGAGCGAATTCGGCTGCAAATAGTGGTGCCAAGAACAGCTGCAATAGTGTTACCAGGTAAAAATTTTGGATGCAAAAACACGACATTGAGCCGTTGAAAAGAGCGTCGCTCATCAAATTAACTCGTAAAAAGATGGTAAATGTTCGTTTACCGTTCCGGGCGAAGGCGGACTGGTTGGTCTATTACAAGGAATATCCGCCTCAGAAAGAGAAGAGAGGGTTCGGCCGGAGAGCTCGGCTGGTTTGAGACAGGTTCCGCTGATAGTGACCTGAAAAAGACGGAGATGATCATACACTGATAAGATATTTAAGATATTACTTCAAGTACGGATATGACGTTCACTGATTAGACCTTACTTTTCTAAGCTAAAGTGTCGGAGTCCTAACTCGAAGGTTAAATATTTGAGCCTAAGAAGCTGTGTCTTACATTCAATAGAGTACAAGAACAAGAGCCCATCAAGCCTAAAAGAATTTCAAAACCTCTACGCGTAATTGAAAAGCCATTTATCAATGTAATTGCACCACAATACTACAAAAAATTTTTGAAAAGTTGAGTTTGGCTTTGGCAGTTTTTCCCATTATAAACCTTATTTTAAAAAAATTGCAGTAGCACCATCGTTATAGATTTGTTTTTTTTTGAAGGTGCGGCTAAATTTACTGGGGGTTCTATAATGGGAGAGAGTCCTTGCTTTCTCATGAAAAGGGTTGAGCGAATGTTAAGTGAAACAGTTGAAAAGGTGAATTTACATTTTTGGGTGACAGCCCCTTGTCCTTTTCCAGGTTGTTGAGGAGTCTCGGGATCCAGACCATCTCACATTCGCAGTCCAGGGGAGTCCCGTCCAGCTCTATTTCCAGAATGTCGTACGAGTTCACTGAATACAGGAACGGGTCAAACAACTCCTAAAATATGCAATAAATGAAACGCCTAAATAGAATATGCAAGAAATGATGTATCATATAATTGATAGTTCATATAAAAACTGAATAACAAATGCAATTATAAGCTATTAAAAATGTGTTAAGTCCGTGACCAGTTTAAATAAATAGTAGCATATACTTCTACTTATTGAAGGCAGTGTTTTTGGGACCATTTAAAAGCCATTTTGATAAAGATTCGTTTTCCTATGTTTCAGGGATTCGACCCCCTCACTAAATATACCCCCTGATTTGTCTCCCTTTTCAAATATATATTCATTTAAAAATCACAGAAAACAATTTGCAACTTTTTACTATTTGTGTTGTATGAACTATCTTTTTTTTCAACCTAAGTCGCAAATATTGTTGCGACGCAAATATTAATGCGGCAAAATGTGTTCATTTTAAAAATGCTCACTTTGATCAATAACCAGCTATTAGTACAGCCAATGTTAAGGCTATTAACACAGACTATTATATCACAAATTCCTGATTGATAAAAATTATGACAATGTATGGAATCGGTTTTTTAAACGCTTTGGAAAACTTTCGTTTTTCTCAAATACTAATCTACCGACTTTCAAAAGAGTGGAAGTAATGGCGATTCTGGCCACTCCTCTGTTTGCCTGCATACTCCCCTAGCCTCTTTCTACCTTACCCCACTTTCTACAGCCTTCGAAAAAATTATGTGGGGGTAATTTGTGTTTTCTCGAAAAACACCCACCGAAACCTGACATTTTGGTTCAATCGATAAAACAGGTTGCGGAAGCTTCCCTGCATAAGCGACTACGCCCATTTTTTTTTCACAAAAGGTTATGGCCCTAAAAAAATTTTTGACCATGTTTTGAAACTTTCACACTTTTCTCAAAAACTACTCTCTCAATTCTGAGATTTTAGTTTCAATCTAAGGAACGGGTTGTGGGAAGCTCCTCTGCGTCAGCCCATACGTTCAAACTTTTTCACACAAAAAGTTTTGACCCTCTGAATAGTCGAATTTTCGATTTTTTGACCGTTTTTTCAAACTTTTTGACTTTTCTCGAAAAGTACGCTCCCAAATCTGAGATTTTGGTTTCGATTGGTAGAACGGGTTGTGGGAAGCTCTGCTGCATAAGCGGTTACGCCCATTTTTAAACAAAAAAGTTGTGACCATCGGACCAGGGAAAAGTAGAATTTTTGACTGTTTTTCGAATGTTTTGACTTTTCTCAAAAACTGCACTTCCGAATCTGAGATACTGGTTTCAACGAAGAGAGAAAAAGCTTTCTGTGTAAGCGCTCACATTCAATTTTCTAACACAATAATTTTTCTGATTTTTTGTCCGTTTTAACATTTCATGAATTGCTACGCTTGAAAATTTGAGCCGGAAACAAGTTTTGGGAAAATTGCAGAATTACGAAATTTTTCTGTCATCCTTAAATAAACCAACAATCAAGGTTTTGGGTAGAGCTCAATGCATAAATTTTTTAAATAACCTACTTCATCCCGCATCAGTACAACAAATTCAAAAAATATCAAATAGGTACCTCCAGCTTTAGCTGGGCCTCTAGTAGTTTTTAAGATTTGAGGTATCATGGACCTGTAGAGCAGAGGCAGGGAAGGAGACCCGCAACAAAATAAGAGGGTGCGAGCCTGGGCAGGGTCGGATGTCTTTATAAACTTTTTCTTGTACTAGTTAATGCGTCCGCTCTATAAAATGAAGAATGTTACTCGGTAAATTTCTTTTTTTTTCTCATTGTACAATTTCACTGGTACTGCTAATGCGTCATAATTGGCTTGCGTCACTTGAAAAACTTCGTAGACTCAAAGTTTTACCCATTCAGGTTTTCGCAGTTGCCCTATTGGTCTTGTTCTTGCTTGTGTATGCGAAGTGCAACTTCGCCTCTGTGTAAGATGTAGATTTTTTCCAGTTATTTTACCAACATAAATCCCTCAAAAATTGGTTGAATTCTTAAGAAAATTTCCGAAAAATTCTAAAGCAAATATTGTGAAAAATTATAGACACTTTGCGCAATAAACACCAATTCATGCTTGGCTTTGTTGCTAAAATTTATGACGGTTTATCCACATTGTTGCGCCCCTGTTTCAGAGATATACGTATTTTTGGCTTTTTTTCTGGGCTGGGTAATTTTGCCTCACCCTCAAGCAACGAGCACGGATCATGGTGGGCCTCGAACATCCCACCTCCTGTTTGAGAGGCGGAGTTGTAACCACTTCACAACAACTCCGCATTAAATTCATTGACAAAAGTCGTGCTTGCCTGCGAGATGAACTCGAGATAGGCGCTGTTCCGGAAACTTATTCGGATCTGATGACCCGAAAACTGAGGAGCCATGCCTTGGAAGGCGATTCCGGATATGTAGTTCATGTATGTGTTGCCGATGCTGAGGTCCTCGATGAAATCTGAGATAAAAAATCAATTCGGTTTCATGAACTATTTCGTGAAGCGACAATTCGTAACAGGCGACAATTCGTAACAGGCGACAATTCGTAACATGCTACAATTCGTAACAGTAGATTAAGCGATGAACACTGATTCACGCGCAGTATTTCTCTCGTGCCGAAGGTAAGCGCAGCGGAGCAAGCGTATTCTACTTGCCCATACCTCGTTAGGAATGTTCGCTTGTTACGAATTTCCGCCTGCAACGAATTGTCGCCCTACCAAAAAAATTCTATTTTCAATAACAATTAACAATTATCAAAATCTGTCTAAGTTTTGGAGGTGAAAAACTTGAGGTTTTTTGCCCAAATCATTTTTTTAATTTTAGACGATCGTAGATTTTGGTTCTGTCAATGTTTTTAGTTTCATTAAGAACAATCAATAACTGTCAAAACTTGCTTTAAAAATGATTTGACTTTTTTGGCTGAATCAATTAAGTTTCATAAGGACAAAGGTCAAGTGATTACAAAAAATATGATGTCATTTAAAATGTATTTTTTTTCCAGCTGATCTGTTAAAACATTGTACCCGTGTTCTTTTAATTTTAACAGTTCGCTAAAAGTATTTTTTTTTGAAATTAACCAAATCTTTTTTTTATTGATTTCAGCAAACAATTATGTGTAGCCTATATAGAACTTAAGTTCTAGGTGTGGGGAAAATTAAGGATTGAAAGTGTCGAGAGAGTTGAAACCGGGGGGGGGGGGGCAAAGGAAATTAAAATAGTCAAAAAAAATAATAACTTAGATTGTGAAAGTAGTCATCGTTGATAGAGTTGATTAGATTGTAATCCAGCGACAGAACATGCAAGGAAGAGGGCATTTTTGGCACTGTGGAATCCAGAGTGGTGATCTTGTTGTTGTCCAGCAGAAGTTGTTCCAGACGAGTCAAGTCCGACAGGTCGCTCATTTTGCTGAGAAGGTTGTCCGCAAGTTTAAGTACCTTTTCAACATGTCAAGTTAGTTATGATTATTTGAAATACAAGTACCCGAAACGTTTTCGGCTAATCAAAACTCAAAAGTAAAAGTTCAACAAGCACGTGAAGCATTCATTTTATGCGAATTTTCATCTACCGAAATGAGAAGAAAATGATTAAAAGTTTGAAGAAAAACTGAATTTGGGTTTCAAAATTAGCTCTCTAGATAAATTGTATAATTTAAGTTTGGATCCTGTTATTTATCCCTCACAGCCTCCTCCTACTAGCAAAAGGAGGTCCTAATTTTTGGTAGTAGGTCAGTAAATCGATGTATCAGTAAACCAAAAACGGGCAGACCAGATCAGTTAACCGAAAATTAATGGTTCACACTAGCTAAAAACTTAATCAAATTTCCTCAAAACAAAAATGAATCAAATAATGAAATGAAATAGCTCTTAACCTCGTAGTTTTAAAATTATTGTTCTACTAGCTAAGGGTTAATTGTTCCGACTTTCGATACGAAAGTAACGGAATATTTGTGCACGGGGGTGGCTTTTTTTTCTTCAGACAAATTTCGACTTTTTAACTAGCCATTTTTGACGGAATTTTTAAATATCATTCAAAAGGTATTGTTGTCCTGAGCTCAAATTTGAAAAGATATTTCACCTGTGATCATTTTTCGTAAAGTTATGAGGGTTTAAAGATTGCCATTTTGGTCATTTTGACCAATTTGGGACAATTAACGCGCGATATAATTCGCGCTATTAACGCGTAAGCGGAGATTTAATCCGTCTTATAAATCGTTCCAAGTTGGTTGAATGAAATTTATTTGCCATAATTGATATGTTACAAGGAACGAAATCTCTCTTTTTGTACTTTAAATGGCGTGTGGGGGGATGATTTTCATAAAAAATTTCAAATTTTAGAAAAAAAAATTTCATTTTATTTTTTTTTCATTTACTTTTTTATGTTATTACTGCTGCTCCATAAACCTTAAAAAGCAGTCGAGTCGGAACATTCAGTACTTTGCTCTGATAGCAGCAGTCTTGTTTATATTATAAATATTTAATTCCGAATTTGATGTAAGTGTTACGTAATTTGGTTTACTGATCTGGTAATTTCAAATTATCTCTTTTGCAAAAATATTACCACGGCTAACGGCTCTCATTTTCTATCATAAAATAATACCAGATGGCCAAGCGGACTCAGACAAAGTAACATAACATAACAGTTGACGTAGGTTCGAGTCACCCACTTGCCCATGTATTAATATACTAAAAAAGGGGGTTATGTCCTATTTTCACAGTTTTTTGATTCTAATTCGGTTCAGCCTTGATTAAGGCTGAACCCAAAAAAGAGCAATTTGTCGCAAGAACATAACCGACCGGTTCTTGTGGCTAGCTTGCGCCGATTTGTACCGAAACAAGCTGTATTGTTGAAACTATGAACTTGTTTAACAGCGAAATTTGAATGAAAATTATCAATATAGCCGATAAATTTTGTATTGCCGAGAATACGAATTCATTATTGTTCCGACTTTTGATACGAAAGTAACGGAATATTTGTGCTCGGGGTGGGTTTTTTTTTCTTCAGACAAATTTCGACTTTTTAACTAGCCATCTTTGACGGAATTTTTTATATCATTCAAAAGGAATTGTTATCCTGAGCTTAAATTTGAAAAGATATTTCACCTGTGATCATTTTTCGTAAAGTTATGAGGGTTTAAAGATTGCCATTTTGGCCATTTTGACCAACGTGGGACAATTAACGCGCGATATTATTCGCGCTATTTTTGCGCAAGCGGAGATTTAATCCGTCTTATAAATCGTTTCAAATTGGTTGAACGAAGCTTATTTGCCATAATTGATTTGTTGCAAGGAACGAAATATATCCTTTTGTACTTTATATGGCGTGTGCGGGGATAATTTTTATAAAAAAAACTTCAAATTTTTGAAAAAAAAAATCATTTTATTTTATTTCATTTAATTTTTTTATGCTATTACTGCTGCTCCATAAACCTTAAAAGCCAGTCGGAACATTCAGGGCTTCGTCCTGATACGAGCAGTCTTGTTGGTATTTTGGTTTTAAATTCATCCTACGGAGATTTAGCGAGCGTATTTTGGCGCCCCACAAGGGACCTAGTTGGTTCTATTAACGAGAGACACCACACACGTCCAAATATACTATTGCGTCGTTATTATTGCTAACACACGCTCAAATAGCACAATCGCCAATTCAGCTCACGAATTGCATTCCAACCATCAATAAGGCGGCATCCCCTTTCGCAAGACTCGCCCCCACAGGAAAAAGGCTGGGTTGTTTGTCACTCGCACTATCGGCAAGTTTCGCTTAATCTACACAGAAAACAACACACCAATTTCACTCAACCAACGTTTGGAACGCCACATAAATTGAGTGCGCGGAACAGTTGAAAACGAAGTCATCGGTAGACAATCTCGTTGACCTTATTACAACATAAGTTCAACAGAATCTACCAAACGAAAAAACTGTTGGATTTGGATAGCTGCATTTGTCCGCTCAGCTCGTTTTGCATTAGCGCAATTACTCATTCAATCAATCGACGAAAGAACTTCGTTCGACTTTTGGCACAACTTTACTCATATATTCGTGTCTGCACAGCTGAACAAGTTATTGACTGTGGCAGCCTTGCCGGCTACTGTGGGTTCGACTTTCAGGAGGGTTTAGAGGACGGCGACTATTTGCTGCATTTGGAGATCGTAATTGACGATATTGGCACAATTAGATTACAACACTTCTTCAAATCTGAAAAGGAGGCAGCGAGGATGAGGAATCGAGCTCAGCGATTAGGATTGTGGGGCCTGTGATTGTGGCTGTCAGCTTCGTGTTTGTAGCCGGCTTCGGACTCTTCTTCTTCATCAAGTTCTACTGTGGCAGAGAGAAGAAAGAAACAGACGGAAGAGCAGACTGGCGGAAGTTTTTGGATTTTTCCCGGTGTCGCCAATCTCCAATTTAAAACTGTAAGAAGTTTCCAAAATTTTAATGACTTTCAAATTGTGCTATAAAATTGATTTACGCTGTCATACATGTTAAAATTTTTCCCGCAAGCTAGCACCCGGTAATTTTTCCCAATACCCAAAGTTTTTGGACAGTTCCATTGAACTGAAAAACCTTACAATCGGTACATGGACAAACTGATTGACATGTTTCTTCTCGAAATCAAACGTTTTTGGATATATGTGAACGGAATATTAATCCGTGAAATCGGAACATAGACAAGATGTACTGGACTAGTTTTTTGGATTGGTTTATGACTCGAACCTGCTGACCAAAACTTTCCGAAAAATTGTGTGAAAAAAGTTTAAAAAAATTGCCAAAAAATCTTGAAAACGTCTCCAGAATTCTGCAAAACTGTGCTGTAAGATGACACCAACCTTATGTTAGGTAGTCTTGTAGCGAAATATCAGGCAAATTAGGTTGAGTTTTTTCATCCTCAGGTTTTTTCCGCGTGTGTTGTTGGAACTTAACCAGTTGGCCTGATCCCCCACCCACCTTTGTTGAAACTGAAAGCCAGTTAGCTTCGAGTAAATCAAAGCCGTTTCAGCCCGTCCGATTATTCACTTCATTGCGTGACAGTATTGTTAAGTGGTCAGGTACAGTGATATTAAGTGAGTTAAGTTGAATTCTTTCATCCTCTTATTTACTCCATGTGTGTTGTTGGAGTTCAACCGACCTACTTAATTTTCCTAACCCCATTGGAACTTAAGCTTAACGAAGCCGTCGCATAGGTCCACTTAAGTATATGTTTTTCATTCTAGGGGCTAATTCCTTTGATCACGCGCTCCGAAAACTTCCCGCTCCGTCCCAGAAGCGCATCAAAGATACTTGTTTACGAAGCCAGGTTTAAGTTTGAACTTTAACGCTAGGGACTCCCAGAAAACAATACAGTACTACCTTCATCACTACTTGTCTCACAAATAAGACCTTGTAAATTGGCACGACGTCATTAAAAACTCGATAAGTAGGCACCGCAGCAACAATACTTGCAAGCCACTTGTCAATTTGCTATTGAGCTATAGAACAAATATATCTGCGATCGTATACTGTAGACGGAACAGAGCCGAGGATATAGAGGAAAGTTTAGTTTCAACAGGTATTCTCGTTCTGAACGTTGTCAAAGATTTTATCTCTAAGCGTAAGGCTAAGGAGCAGGTACTAATTGAGAAGTACAAAGGGCTTCACCAGCCTCCTTCCCGTGAATTATAGACTCTCCTCCTTCTAAGGCGTTATAGCGCTAACCTTAACATCCTTAGGACTCATAAGAAGCGGAACCGCTTACCACTCAAAGCTCGGAAAGCTATAAAAAATAGGCTTCAGGCAGAAGCTTTGAGACGTCAAGTTCCAACATTTTGTAAGCTAATGTTGATATATTAATGTAAATTTAATTACGTACCAAAACAGTATCTCATTTTATTGATTTATTGATTGTTTTCTATAAGTGAGCATCCGTAGATCACTGTCAATTTGCGAAAAATATGGACGAAAAATTCCAAAGTAAGATACGCAAGTTTATTTTGAAACCCGTCTAAATTTAGAAAATGAGCTGCTTAAAGGTCACTCATTATTACTTGAGTACAATGAGAAAAATAGTCGCACCGCAAAAACTGATAATGTAAAATTGTAAAATTGCTTTGGAAAAAGCTGTTGACGTCAATGAGCAATTAATTAAGTTAGCGGGAAAAACGGAAACCCTGAAAAAATTACTGCTCAGCAAGACCTTTGGCTTAAGAAAATAACCGAAATGAACGATAAAGTAATGCATGAAGCTCAGAGCTACAAGATGAGCCTTGAACCTTTGTCACTCTCAGCACCCGGCATTACAGGGAGCAAGGGATCTTTAGAACAAACTAGGTCTGAGACATACTCACGCTCGCACAAAAACAATAGATTCGGAAGCACGAGTATCTGAAAACAGGTCTAAGGTCTCTGAAAACAAGTCTAAGGAAAGTAGAAATCGTGAGTCACATAAGTCTGATAAATCTGCTTC